AAAATCAAATTCTTTTAAAAGTTCACACTCAAAAATGACATTGAAGTTTACATTTTTAAAATCTTCAAACTGATCATTTAATAAAATCAACAGGATTAATTCTAAAGTTGCACTGGAAAATTACAAGTCATTTTTTTTCTCTCCCCCAAATATGTTTAGAATTTTTTCCCATTTCAAATCTGAAAGCACATCTAATTAAATTATGCAAGTGCCCATTTTTCAAAAATAAAAATTTTTTTTTAGAAAAGTACACATGGGATATTGAAAAGTGTTTGTTGTGGGTGAAACTTCTATCTCAGGGTCTTTTAATAATTCAGTAAAATAGTGGTTCATTAATAAATCCAGAAGATTTTGGGTGTCTTTTTTTTTTTTTCCAAGAAAAGTATCTATTTTGATGTTATCTAGTTCATACCCTTGGGAAATGTTTAAATTCATCTCTTATATCATTTTTTCAAATGATTTCAGTTTATTTTACATAAACAAATTTACTTTTTTGCACTTAAGAAATTTACTGGAAAAAGATTTTTTTTTTTTTATTTTAATTTATATACATCACATTTGCTTTCAATTATTTTAAGCTTTTTATGCATTTAAATAAGAAAGAAAATCAATAGGTTTGATTAATATCAATACACCATACTATACAAATATTTCTGTTATGTATTCTTGAAATATTACAACATACCTAATATTAATGCAAATTTGCCTGAATCTCTGAGGTGAGGAATTTACACTTTTGGTGGTAGAAATGCGATAAGAGGTGAAAATTTTAGACTGTGATGTGAATAATAATAATAATCTTAAAATAAAACACATTCAAAAAAATTCCTTGGGATTCTGGTATATCATATCAACTTCAGTCTTTTTAAAAGTGCTTCCTGGTAGTGATTATATTAAAAAAAAAGTTTCTCAAATTGCACCAAGCTGAATAACAATTTAAAAAAAACAAAAAAAAAAAACTTAAAAATCAGATATAACCTTTATTGCACAAGTTGAAAATTAGTACTTTTCATAGTGTACATTAAGACAGAGCTTCTATAAGATTTGCACTTAATATGGTCTTAAATATTTCTACACTATGCATCAGGTATGTATTGAACTCTTACACATTTTTCAATGTATTTTAAATGTGATTACTTCATTTGATTCTGTGCATGTATTTTCATTTCTTTTGTGTTCATGTGCCTAGTAACTACAGTCCAATTTCATTTTGCATTACACAGTGACAAGAATAAAGATAAATATTTTCATCATAAAGAACATACTTTTGTTTGTATACTATTGTTTAAGTACTCGTCAACTATACTACATTTCTACTATAGAATTTGCAATTTTCATGATTTTGAAAAAAAAAAGTTTGAGAAAATCTGTAAATTACCAACTTAGATACTGTATGTAAAATATTAAAGTGTCTTTTCTGAATTTCATTTGTAAATAAGAGCATTTCTTAAATAACATATAAATTTTTTTTTTTTTACCCAAATGATATCAGTTTTTATTTTTATATAGAACATAAGTTTTAATACAATGAATATTTTAATGTGACAATGAGCTTTTAGTCTATACACTCTGTAGTAACTATTTATCAATTCAACAGTCAGTTATGTGCCATGTGTGATACATGCTTAGGCGATCATGTATCTTTTGATACATGACTGACGAGGCAGATTTTTTCCCCCCACAGTAGGTTACCATTTCTTTCTGCAGTAGACCATTTGCCATCCAAGGTGATAGAACCCAGTCTATCCTGCTATTTACCCATAGCTGGGGAAAGAAGAGGATTCATACCTTTCCCAAGGGTTTTAGCACATAAGTGAAAGTTATGGATTTGGCTGGAATTTGAACTTGGCTCTCCGATTTCTCCACCGTGCCATTTAACACTAACTCTATATTTCATTATTGAAACTGAATTTATTTGAAGTATCCCTTTTGTAAAATTGACAACTAAAATATGGTAATATGAATATTAACTCTTGAGATTTATTTCAAGAAACCAGTTTTGTAGTCTGCATTAATATGAAGAAACTTTATATCAATTGGTAATTAGTAGGGATAATCCCAAGGAGGGCATTAATCCAAAGAGAGCTCAATGTAAGTAACAGCAATATTAATAAAAGTACAGATGATCCTTAAAAATCCATTTGGTTATAATTTATTTCATGAATATACAAATATTCATTTCTTCAGTCTGAACTTTTTTAATAAAAACTTTCTATTAAATAAAACCTTGGTCTGAAGATATGAATATTTGTATATTCATGAAATAAATTATAACCAAAATGAATTTTTAAGTATCATCTGTACTTGTTTATATATATATATATATATAAATATAATATTGAAGGATTTCTTACAAATAAATATGCATTTTAATGACTGCAGCTTTTGTTGTTGTGTGTATGTAATGTAGGTGGAACTGTTTGGAATCTTTCAATAGTTGTTAGCACAAAGTTACAAGTCATCGTAACTGAGGATTTGGGTGTGCTGTCCTTGTTAAAAATTTGATCAGCTTATGTGTGCTCTCTCCCAGAAACTGTAAGGTCCGCTCAGCATACTTGATATATAAAACAGGTGAACTCTGTGGATTGAGCGGGCATCTGTAATAGAGATTTGCTATCTGCCCTGGCAGATGGGTGTGCTCAGAAATGAGTAGCCAACCATTTTATATATATATATATATATATATATATATATATAACATTGAGAAAGATTCATAGCCTGAATAAGAAGTTTTTTTTCTCTACCCATTAAAATATGCTTAGTCAAGTTTTGGGAAAGTAGATCAGGTAGATAACTTTTCAATGTGTGTGTGTGTGTGTGTGTCCAATATAATATCTATACCAGTAAATAGAACATCTTACTTACTTAGAGGATATTTACAAATATACTTACTTTTGCTGTGCAATATCTAGTTTTGTCTATGCATGGAAGATACACTTTATATTTTAAGCAAGATTTCACTACAGAGAAGAAATTAAAAATTAATATTTATAGTTGGGTTGTTTAGTAAATATGAGTAGTAATGTAGCAACAGCTTCATAGTCAGTACTCCACTATGATTTATTTCTTTTTGTTGGTGGATTATGTGTCTATATGGTGGACCTTCCCATCGTATTTGATGTATGAGGGTCAAGCAGCACATTTCTTAGGAATCGACAGCCAGGCACTAGCACATGTGATTTGATTATAGTGGTGAAGGCTTTGTGCAGAACCAACCACACCTTTCAAAGGGCAGAATACAGAGACCTGGTGCACTACATGCCATGAGGTCCCCCCAAACAACCTTTCGCAGGTTTTGAATTCAGAGTTGTTCTTCTCCTAGACCAGTTGCCATCCAAGGCTATAGAACCCAATCTGTCCTCCTGCTATTTACGCATAGCTGAAGGGGAAAGAGGATTCATACCTTTCTCAAGGGTATTAGTGTATAAGTGAATTTAATGGATTCAACTGTAATTCGAACTCTGCTCCCTGACTTCTCAATCCAAGCTGCTATCCACTACTCCACTGTGTATACATGTGTCTCTACATAATTCTCCATATTCAGTTAAAAGAATCTACTAAAACATGGTTCTAGAATAGACATACTAAAATATATTTAAACTTTCAGAATCCACATTACATCATGGTAATATGAGAAGTTTCAAAGCATAAAATAACAAAGTTCAGTTGACAACAATTAAACTATTCAAAATCATTCTAAAGATGTATACTACAATATGGACTTTGAATTTCATCTAATTTTTTCTTGATAATGGCTGAAGCCAGCTGAAAAGCTTGGAAACAAACTGGATAGATTTATTTACACTTAACACCAAGATATAGAAATTAACACACAAAAAAACAGCTAAAAACCTAATAGACATATGTTATCGTTTACAAAACTTGTTTGAATAAACATTGGCTGCCTAAATGTACCTAATGTAATTGGATATATATTTATTAGTGCTGTGAATTATTGATCTTGGATTTTGTATTATAAAAGCCTCAGTAATTACTTGGAATGATTTTTTTTTTTACTTAGATATTTGAGAACTGAAGAGGTGTTATTCACCATTTCCCTTTATAGAAACTTTTCAGATTTGAAATAATGGATTCCTTACTGGATTTTACCATAATAAAAAAAACAGGAAACAGGATAATTGTCATTATTTTAGATTATCCTATCAGTCTGCATTGATATGGAAAGAAAGTTTAATTAGAGAGGTAAAAGAACTTTATATTTCTAAAAGGTAGATAATAATTGATAGACAAAAGTTGTCTCTTTTTAATTTGCTGCTTTATTCATTTTATCAAATTATATTCATAATTGCCTCCCACTTTGTTAATTATCTATTGATTACTCATAATTTTTCATTTCATTGTGTTCATTTATAATAAAAATATTGATATTTTCTCAGTAAATATTGGTACAGTATAAGACTATTGGAAAACATTGTCATCCCAGTTTTTTTCCTATGGGCGAATCATGCCTGATTTGAAGATCAGCATTTATATGTATTTATTAATATTTATCTGGGCTTGAACACTTAACTAAGAGTAGTTTTGAGAATTAAGCAACTACTTTATCCAACATGTAAACCAGCATTAACAAGAGGAAATTATTGTTTTATTTCTTTTTATTATAAAAAACACATCATCTTTTAACATGTTTTTTGTTTAAAAATTTTTTTTAAACACTCAAAAGTGTTAGATGAAAAATTAGAGCAAAGTTTAAAGTGAGTAAGTAAATTTCCCCTTTCAAGTATGTTCTATGATTGATTCATTTTCTACAGCATATATCCTTTGCTGGATATTTAAAGCCGGGAAATATTTTTAGATTGTAAGAATATTTTTTAATGATTTATTACTGATTAACTCGTAGCTAGAGGGGAGAGGTGGATTCATGCCTTTCCCAGGGTTATTTATGTGTAAGTGAATATAATGAACCCAACTGGAATAGAACTCGGCTCTCCAATCAACAATTCTGAGTCATTATTCATTGCACCACCTGCACATCCAAGCTTACAGCACCTGGTATTCCCAAGCAGTCACCTACTAGGTACTGACCAAGCTCAACTTGGCTTAACTTTGGTGATCTTGTATGGGAATGTAGTGTGTCTGTAAGCCTTTCCAGTATGTATATGCTCATGCATATGAGAGAGTATGGGAGTGGATTTAATGCCTATAAAAAGGTAATCTAAGAAGAATAGCTTATCTAAAACTTGTATGAATTACTGATTGTAAGAAGGAATTGGAAGAATTATTCAGATTCTTACTTTGCAATATCTTGGGAAGATGTTTATTTTTAGTTGTCTAATTTTGGTTCCAGGTGGCTTTTCTAAAGTACTTAGTAAACATTGAGCTTATTCCAGGCAGTTTGTGAAACTAACTTAACCACTTATATTACCACAACTGCTTTTGCCAAAGTTTTGCAACTTGTGTGTGTGTGTCTCTCTCTCTCAAAAATTATAACATAAACATGTTATAGCATCACTACAAAAATAGCCATTTTGTTTCAACACTTCTGGTATCTTATCAAGTGATTGTGTTGAATGTAGGTTCTACATTCAGCAGCATCACTTGATAAGACACCAGAAGTGTTGAAATAAAATGGCTATTTTTGTAGTGATGCTATAACATGTTTATGTTATTATTTTTGAATAAAGAATTATTTTTGCTTCACTCTTTATTGAGCACTTTTAAAGAATAGTATTTTTGGTTGTTGGAATTTATGCTGTCTACACCAATTATATACGTGTGTGTGTGTATGCATGTATATGGCCTGAAGGATGACATTATTTTTGCTTGAATTATTGAATATATTCTGAGTATCTTTTTCAGGATTTCTTTTCATACAACCTGCCAAGCAAATGACATCATTTTGTCAAACCCTGGAGATAAGTTTTTTTTTTTTTTTTTTTTTTAACTCTGCTACAATTAGATTAAACAGAAGATACATAACAAAATATCATTCTATTAAATCTTATAAACTTTTTCATGTTCCTTGGAGATTCCATCAAGGGAAACACACATTATACTAGAAATATTGTCCATAGCACAAGATTGATAACCAATTCTCATTGGTATATGCCTATTTGCAGAGTTGATCTGTAAGCTGTGTTTTAGAAATTTCAGTTGTCCCTTTCTGATTTCAAGAATAAATGTCTTAGTTACCATTTTCTTTAAAACTTTCTCATTGTTTGTATTTTCTGTCTATGGTATTCTCAGCACCTGTCTGTAGGACCATATATTTCTATTTGTGTCAGGTCTTCTTTTTGTTGGTCAAAATATTTTATAATTATTTTTACCTTTTTGATTATTGCAAAGATGAGCATGCAGCTAAACCTGCTTGACAACCATTGTTAATACTTCAAAACTTTGTAATTTGAAGTGTAGTCTAGACATAAATGCAAACAACCCCAGTTAAAGTTCTTAAAATATTTCTGAAATTGTAGGCTTCTTAATTTACTAGAATTCTTAGGCTAATTTACTGGACAGTCCTATAAAGGCCAAAATTGTATTTTATTTTTAAAAAAAATTAGTTTGATGCTGTTGGCAGTTATTTTGCAATCTTCGTTAAAAGAAAAAACTCCTATAGTGAGGTCCTTTATTTACTAGCTGATGTACCTGATAATTCCCAGAAAAGTGGCTGTTATCCACAGTTCCTGTTCTCATATACTTTTTTTGGTTATCAGAAAGTAACAATTCAAAGTTGCACTGAAAAGGGCTTTTGTGTATTCACAGAATACTCAACTGCTGCCATTTTTGAAAGGTTTAAAAACAATTCTTTATTAAATTTTTGATATCAGTTTTGTGATTCAAATTGATATTGTCTAATTAAACAACCCTAATTAAAAGTAAAACTCAACAGGGAAGAGTATCTGGCTCATGCCAATTAAGGACATTTAGATTTTTAAGGATGTCTATTTCCACAGTTATATATACACACAGATGGTATAGTATGAAAGTATCCTTCAAACAGGACACAAACAACCACAACCATGATATGACATTTTTTTTTTAATGAGCTTAGGTAAAGTTTTGCAGATAAGTTCCATTTAAATGTTATTTTATGTTTAAATGACCAAATGGATTGAGCCAATTTCTTTGTATTTAATAAATTTGGACCTGGAAAATTTAATGATGAAAATAGCAAAATTTGAAACAAATTAATTCTATATTAAATTAAATGCTAAACACAGTGAACTATGTGTTAGATGAGGTGGTGAGCTTCTATCTAGGGGCCCTAGCAGTCACATTATAGATTTTTATAAAAACCAATTAGCATAGTAACAAACTAGATATTAGTTTAACATGTATGCAAAATTTCATCAATATTGACTCACAGGTTTAGGCAGCAACTTGTTTAGATACACATATAAATTGCCATATATATATATATATATATATATATATATATATATATATATATATATATATATATCTGAAGACATTTGTTTGTGTATTTGTTGCTTAATACTCCAAGAATAGCAAAATGAGCAGTTCAAAAGTATGCTAAAAGAAAAGCTTATATTCACCACAGGGTCTACTGAAACCAATGTTCTCACCCTCTGTACATTTTTTTTATTTCACACAGTTAACAACAAAGCAGAAAAGACACCTGTTTGGCATGTTTAATGGTACTTGCCTGTCACTGAAATTTTTATTTATTTATTGTTGAGACCCTTAAACACAACCTCTCTAAACTATAGCTACTAACAATCATTCTGTTATTACTTTTATCTCACTCTTTTTCTTTTATGGCTTGAAAACACAAGGCAGAATGTAGGTAAGATGTGACACAAGTCTTTTATAATCCAATCAATTTGAAAATGTTCAAAAGAGGAATAAAGTATATTAGGTATATGTTGAAACATCAAATCTATGTAGCATGTTCATAGTGGGTGGGGCTGGGGGTGCAATCTTGTTTTATTTATTACACTTCTACAAATGCTTGTGAGTGAAACCACTCAAGTGCCTTTCTTGTGAACTCATTATGAGAGAGATCTTAATTTTGGTTATTACTAAAATCTTAGAAACTTAGTAATTTGTGCTTCATACAGCAGAAATGAAGTTTAATTACCAAATTCTTAAGTCTCTTTTTCGATATTCACTGTTACTACAATTGTCACAAGTGAACACAATTTCTCATATATGGTAATATTAGCTGTTATTAATTGGTAACCTCCCCCCCCCCCGACAAATTGTAAACATGGGGACTAGTTAGGACTTCATAGAGAAATTGTGGTATTATGTTGATTGTAGTAAAAATGTTTTATTTTGTTGTAAAAGCATTATAGTATGGGTAAGTGATTGTGTATAGCTAAGTTAAATGTAGGACATAACCTTTTTTTTTCTCTCTCTCTCTCTCTCTCTCTGAAAAATAATTTACCTCATAAATAACTGCCTATTCTGTTTTGACTGTGTGAAAACACTGAAATGACATATCAGAAATGCTACTTGGTTTCAGTGAGAAAATAAAAAAGTGTTTTTCTGCTTCATTGAAATTTCTCAAAAAAAGTTCTCAATTTCAAATCTTTTCATTTGTACCCCTTTATGTCTTAAAATAATGAGAATTTATATTTATGATTGTTATTGCAATATTTTGTTAAAGTTGTTAAGCTCAGATATTTAATGATGTGAGAGGGGAGTTTCTATGGATATTTTATTGTTGTGGAACATGCCATAAGCTTATTCAATTATTAACTTAAAAAAATTTAGATTGATCAAAATATTAAAATAGAAAAACTGAACTTTTCACAGATCTTTCTAGTAGTATTTATTTTTGTCGCTAAAAACTTCCTCTATCCAACATTGTTGTTGTTTTCTTGGTATTTGTAGTTTCTGTTTAAATAAATAATTGCTACTTAAATATTTTTTCTTTTAGAATATTTTCGGTTTTCACAATTTCTGGAAAAAAAAAAACCCTCAAAAAACAAACAAACAAAAAAAAAACAGTTTTTATTTGCTCCAAACTTGAATATTCAACAGATAGTAATGAGAATTTATACATCTCACCACTACCTCTAAAAACTTATTTGTGTGTCTCTACTAGTAGAATTTTTCATCCTGCTTTTTTTTTTTTTTTTTAAAACACTGTACCTATTCAACTTCAGTGACCCTGAGAACAGATCACACTATTTTTTTTGTTATTTTAAAAAATGTGGAAATTCTGTATTGAAGCAGACATATTTTGTAGTGAAGAGAATTTCAGTAAATGTTCACTTTGCCTTTTCTAGTTTACAAATATAAGCTTTGTCTTCATCTTTGCAGCACCCCCTTCTCTCCATCTCTCCCCACCTTTTCCTACTGCCTCTTTCCTACACCACTCCATCCTTCATTTTGTACCTTACAGACTTGTGCATAGCCATTGTAACTACTGTTTTTACCACTTACAATCATTCCTGTCTCTCTCCATCTTTATCTTGCTGGAGCAAGCTGCTACTTACCAGTAATGGCTAGTTGATAAATAATAATAAAAATATTATTCCTCCTTCGTTCATCCCTGTTACTTATCAACAGACAAGTGTTTGTCTCATGTTTTTTTATTTGGATTTGTGAAAGAAATTTGTTTAGATTTACAAACCAACTATTCTTTTTCTTTTTAATTTTACCATGGGATCAGTTTTTTTTTCTCTGTATTTTATGTTCTCACTGTTTTTAAATGGTGTTTGATTTTTTTATATTTAAAGATTTTAATTCCTCAGGATATATGCAAAAGTAAGAAAAATAAAATGAAAAGTTAACGTGTCTTACTGGCTAAAAGCACTTTTTATTTTACTTTGACTTTTTATTTACTTTTGTCAAATTTGAGGTGCGTCCTTGAAGCCAGGATGTACTCAATGCCGGGAATATGTTAATTCTTTATCTGGTCATAAACAAGTATTAAGTTTTACTAGTGAAACAGAAAGACTGCTAAAATTTCTGGGACACACATTGAGAAAGCAAGGCATGGGAAATTTGACACTCACAGGACGTATCCAAGTCAAAAGAGACTGGAGAGACAGTATGCCCACCTACCTGACAAACTTTTGTGAATGGATTGCAGAGCAGGGTGAAGAGGGCTGTTAATAAGGCAGTAATTAGTAAGAGCTATAGGGGAAGGGAA